GGTTAGGGAGGGCTGGGTTGGGGTAGGGGCAGCATGCAAGGCGAGAGGGCAGGGGAGGGAAGAGAGGGGATCGTGAGGTGCAAGGTCAGAGCAAGGCCCACATCCACTGCCAGGTGTCAAGGTTTGGGCGGCAAAGGGGGCCCAGGAGAGGGGCAGGGCTGTGTTTTCCATAGGAAGCATTCCAGGCACAGAGGCCAGCCAATTCCACTCCTCTGCCCCAGGTGAGAAGATCCTCAGAGAGGGCCTGGGACCAAAAGAGGGCCAAAGGAGGGCACTATGAGAGGATACCTTGGGTCTGGAAGTGGAGGGGGGTCGGTGGCGACCCAGGACCCATTGGAGAAGCAGGGGGAAGGGAGGGTCCAGGCAGTGCCATGATGCCACAGAACAAGGGGAACAGAGGGGAGGCACAGGAGGGGGCTGGAAAAGGGGGCCTGAAATCAAGGGACAGGGACAGGGTCCTTGAGAAGTGAGGCTGGGGGCTCAAAGAAGAAGCCAAGCCCAGGAATGGAGAGCCAAATGGGAGGGCCAGGGTGGGCTGCCTGAACAGGGGGGCTGAGGAGGGGAGGGAGAGGAGAAAGGGGAGTGGGTAGTTCAGGGGAAGGAAGTCTCAAGGTCCAGGTCCACTGCTGGGTGTCAGGGTTGAGAAGCAGGGCCCAGATTGAGGGAGGACAAAGGGCCCAGGCAAGGGGTAGGGCTATGATTTTCCAAAAGGAGCCCACAGATCCAAGAGGCCAGGTCCAGTCCCCAGGCCCAGGTGAGCATCCTGGAAAAGAATCAGGAAAAAGGGCCCAGCAGGGACAGGAAGGACAGGAGGGCCGAAGGAGGGTACAGTGTAAAGGGCCGGAGGATGGGTGTGGGTGGGGTGAGGGCCAGAACCCCAGCAAGGAGCCCAGACTAGGAACCTAGAAGAGGGCCCATGCCAGGAAAGAGCAGGGAAGGGCGGGGCCAGGGAATTTGGGTGGCACTAGGATTCTGAGGTGCAGGGAAGCCAAGGGGAGCAATGAAGCGGCCCAAGTGAGGGGCCCACAGTCAAAGCCCAGGGATGCAAGGAGCAACAAGTGCCACCAGAGGCTCAAGCAAGGAAGCAGGCCAGGGAATGGAGATAGATATCCAGTAGAGAAGTAGCAGGGATAACTTATGGATGAGAATCCACTAAGGAGGAGAAGGCTTCCTGACCCTGGCAGAAAGCTTGGCCTTACACAGGAGGAAGGACAGCTCCTCTGCTTTAATGCAAGATAGAGGCAGGGCAGCAGAGAGGAGGAAATTCCCATCTATGCTTCTTTTCTTTCTTTCTCTTCAGTAAATTATGATGCTAGGTCATTTTGTAGAAAGTGATTTGTGAGAGTATGTTGGAAAGGGGGCAGGTGGTAATGATCAAGGAGATGGAAGAAGTCATTGAGTGTAAGTTTACCTGAGAAAACTAGCAGGTCTCTTAGCAGTGTTGAGGATTGAGCCATTTGAAGATGTTGATGAAGTTACAGTGGAACTAATCTCCATTATATCCCCCAGTTCTTAGGGGCAGGCTGGAGACTTGATCCTGAGCTACATGATACAGGTATTCAGATAAGACAAAGTGGAAAAGGATGTTAGAGCAAAGTCCATCATTCAAAAATATGGACTATAACATCTGCTGGGGAGATAACCAAAATAAAGGAACAAGCTGAAGGCTTGGGAGAAAGGAGAGTAAATAATGTTGCAGAGGTCATGGGCAGAGAGCAAGATGCTTAGATTATATTATTATAGTGGTAGAGATGTCAAGGAACCAAGCTAAGGATGGGTGGGTTGTCCAGGTCTGGATCTCCTCACCTTTTAAACTCTCTTCATCACATTCCAACTGCTGCCACACTCCACCCAACAGCTTTGACTAAGGTCTCAGATGACCTCTATGTATTCAAATCCTATAAATATTCCCCATCCTCATTTTGCACAATTTCTCAGTGTTATATGATACTAAACTGCTCTCATTCTTGCAAAACAGTCTCTTCTGCTAGCTTCTAAGACAACACATTGCCTTATGTATCCCAAGGAGAAGCTCCAGACATTGAATGCTATTGCCCAGTCTCCTGTGGGGGCCCATCCTCCCCTTGCTGAGTGGTACATTTGGAAGTTTTCTATTAAGGCTTGGTCCTTAGCTCTTTTACTTGTATTCTTTCTTGGCAATCATATCTGGGGCTCATGGCTTAGCTCATCATCTTAGGAATTTCTTTTGAACTTTAAACCCATATATCCAATTCCTACTGGCTATTCCTCTTGGATGTCTTAGAGATTTTTCACATTCCTTACCTGCTCTTATACGTAACTTACCTCCAAACCTGGTTATTTTCTGATGTTCCATCTAAGTGAACCTCTTGTTCCTAGGCAAGTCAGAAATTTAAGAGCCACCCTGAGAGGTTCTGGACATAGCTCAGTGGTAAAGTGCTTGCCTAACATGCATGAGGCCCTAGGTTAGATCCCTGATACTACCATAACCCCCGCCCCCCCCCCTACACACACACACACACACACACACACACACGCACACACAAAGCTATCCTTGATGCTTGCCTTCCCCCCCGGAACTCCCTGAATCCATCCATTCACTTCTATGTCCAGTGCTATGACCCGGATCCAGGGCATTTCCCACCCAAGGTGCCATAATTCCCATTCCCTCGGCACAAACCTGCTGATCATATAACCCTGACTTAACCCTCTCTGTTACTTCCCACTGCTCCTTGAATAAATACATGTTCTCATCATGTGGTCCTCAGGCCCAGGATGGCCTGACCTTTGCAGCTGCTGCAGGCATGCTGGCCATGCAGGCATCTGCTTTACCCACCTGCTCCTCCCTGGTTCTTCCTGTCCTTCATCTCTCAGTTCACACTTCCTGAGGGTAGCCTTCCTGACTACCTCATCCAGGCTGATCTCTGCCACCATTTCTTCTCATAGTTCATTGTGTGCCTTCCCTTCCTAGCTCTTACCTCAGTGTGGAATTACATATCTCTCTAGTTGGTCATTTGATTGTGTCTGTGCCCTACCCTGGACTCCATGCTCCATTAGAGCAGGAATCGCATCTGGTTTTGCTCGTTGTATCTCCTTCTTCCACTTAGTAAAATACTTGGCTTTTGAGGATGCTCTGATTTTTTTTTCTTTTTAAGTTACTAGGAACCATAGGATTTAAGCAGAAAAGTGTCTTAGAAATCATGCTATCCATCATTTTCTAGCTAAGGAAAAGGTGTGGAGAGGTGAGAGATTGGGGGTTTGTGTACACATGGTGACATAGCTAATTAACAATGGAGTTAGAGTATGAGTCTTCATCTCTTTCCAGTCCAGGGATCTTTCCACCTCCCCCTAACAACTATTTATTGGATATAAATACTCTAGTAGAATTCTCTCCCACTCCTTCCCTTTTTTAAAAGTAAAAAGCAAGAGCTGTCTGTGCTTAAACTGTCCTCGTGTGTACATACACTCTACAATCACAAAACATCAAACCAGGATGTTTTATGTATATTTTAGTTGTAGATGGACATTATACCTTTATTTTATTTTTTGTGGTGGTAAGGATTGAACCCAGTGCCTCACCCATGCCAGGCAAGCACTCTACCACTGAGCCCCAGCTCCAGCCCCTCAGGCCATTTTTTGCAGACAAAGTAACATGCTCAGCATCTTAAGGATGTGCTCCCCCCTCATCCCTACCAACTTGCATCAGTGATGAGGATGCTTCCTTGGGACTCAAGAGGTGGCTTCTCCCCTTCACCCACAGTAAAGTCACTGTGCCATCCTGGAAGCTGTGTACTTGTTATAGAAAGTTGCAAATCCATTTCCCATGTTACAGCAGGTGATCATTTTCTGCACATCATATCACACAGTATGATTATCCAAGTAGTTTGCTCAGTTTCCAGAGGTGGCTTTTTCTGCCTATGCATGTTTGCGTGGGTGCGTGCTAAATAAAGCATGTGGGCCCTCTGGTGGTCATCTGTAGAAAAAAGCTCATGCGCTGGAAGAGATTCGACTAGGCTGGGGTGAGAATTCTCAGTTCCTTGCCTTCACAAGCCATTTCTCAAATTAGTCATTAAAACTAAACTAGGGCCATTTAAACCCATCTGAATAAGACAGTTTATGCCAGCAATGGACTAATTATTTTTCTGGTCAGGCTCACATTTTGCCAGACCCTGTTGCTAAGCAGAGCAATGACTAATGTAAACTGGGGCTGTGGTCTGTGAATTTGGCCCAGAGATGGAGGGAAAAGAAGAGTCTGATGGTTGTTCTTAAATGAGCAACAGACATTCCCTCCATGGGAAAAATACTGAGCACTACACAGCATCTTATAGTTCACTTATACAACATGTAATTCAAATAACTGCATAGAGACGGGAGTTCTGAGCCAGTGGGTCTTGTGGGTGCAATGCTGGGACAAGGGACCTGTGAATAAGGGGCAGGTGGTAAAACATGGGAACAAATCAATCTTGGGCTATATGCAGAGCTAGATGGTTTTGAGACAACTAAAAAAATGAGATGGAGAGAGGGGAGTGGACGATATGGAGTACTTTTAAATGTCCAAACTGTCTCATCAGGCAGGCCACTTAAGAAATCCAAGTTGCCTGTGCCTGAGGAGGCAGAGGTCCATGCAGGCAAAAGACAGGGTCATAACTGACAGCAGGCACTGGGGAATCAGACTTTGAGATAGGAGGCAGTGCCTGTTCTTTTTGGACCTACCCTCAACATGTTGGTAATATCTATTCTTGCTTTTCATTAAAATATTTTTGATGTGCCCTATTATCTTTTTTATATTGTGTTTAGATTTATGTTTAATTTTCTCTGCATATGACAGCCTTTTAAAGTAAAAAATCAAAAATTTGCCTACTTTAAAACATTGGAGGGCTGGGGCTGTAGCTGAGTGGTAGAGCAATTGCCTAGCATATGTGAGGCCCCGAGATCAGTCCCCAGCACAAACAAAACAAGTGACAACAACAGAAATGTAAAAACCCCACTAGGAAATATGTTTGAAAAAGTTAAAAATCACAAAGAGATCAAGAGGGTTTAACAGTTGCTTTTTTTTTCCACATTTGCCTATATTGTTACATATACCATTACTTAGATATCCACACTCCACTCCACATGATAAATTACAAAAGAGAGAGGGACTTTTAAAACCACATTTAATTTTTAATACAAAATCTGTTGCATTATTACAGAAGTGACTCCATGCACAGATAAATTTAGCATGTACCATTATGGAAGGGTAAAAAACTGTACTTTTATTGTTCTCCTGAAACATTGACAAAATAAAGTAACTTTTATCTTTGTGCTCTCTGATGCCAAGGCAAGTCCATTTTATTTTTATTTTTGTCTTTCAATGGATAGGTTGATCTTTCAAAAGTGGATATGGAGAAATGAAAGCATTAAGGGCCACCTTAACCTGGGATTACTTCAAACTATGCTTTACCTGCATTTACCAAACATGCCAGGTATTAAACCTACTGTGCTCCATAGGCAAAGGTCTGAAGATTTCAGCTAGAAACCTGCTGTGGAAAAGTTCACTATTTCCATGTCACAGCAAAAAGGGAGAAAAAATACAAAAGGTACTTAGATGCTTTCCAATCCCATGCACTGCATGAATTAGCTTACTTCTTACACAGTGCAACATAAACATTGTTTATTTGTTTATTTGTATGTAACACCTATAAGCATATAGCATCTACACTTTAAGTATATTTACAAATTCAACAAAATATCTACATATAAAAAGCTTTACTTAAAATTAAACTTGATGCAAGTTATGAGAAACCAATTTATTGGCAAATGAAACTGAGCATTCCTTCAACCATAGGTTGTTATAGATTTTCATATTTAGAGGTAAACCATTTGATAGATATTGTTTATGAATAAGATAGAATATATATATATTTATTTCTTAAACTGCAGATGTAATCCCTTAGACTGCTGGCCTTTTAAGCACTTGCCAATTTCTTAGATTCTGAAGTGTGTCCATTGTGATTTGCATATACATTGCTTAATGCTGCAGAGAGTTTCAAAAGCTCATATAGGTAAAGTCTTACAAATATGAATTATGTTGGCATGCTGTTGTATGCTTTTAGTTTTGCAATAACTTGTTTATTTTTCTATTAATTTTATACCATGTTGACATTCTTACTGAATGTGACCTGTTGGAATGGAAACCAAACTATCATGTTGTCTAGTTGATAATAAAATTTTTCTTTGTAATTTATGGGGAAATGTGCCTTAAAATAAACTGTCTTCTTACTTTAATTTTCCATTTCTTTTTTTTTGTTTTCAGCATTGCAGTTTTCATTATCTCTGCTTTTCAAAAGTTACTTTTTGACAATGACAGTAATCTAAGATGGAGTCCACTGTACCGGCTGATACAGAATGCAGTATATTATGGAATGCTTATTGTCTGAAGGCACTGCATGTATCTTGCCCTGTATTTTCTGGAAAATTTTTTGAAATTTAATTACAGTGATTTGTTTCAATTCTTTCAGTATGGCACAAATGTCCAAATGCATTGCAATACACACTGTTTATGCCTAAAAACAACCAAACACAGATAATGTACAAAGTAGAACACTGTGCTGCTGTAATACCTGGAAGATTAAGAAGCCTATGAAGTAACAGGAGCAAAGAGCAGGTAACAGAGTCTCAGTAGCATCAGCAAATGCAACTGTCATAATTAACTTATTTAGCAAGTATATACTGTACATACTGTTCCTACCAGTCTCCCCAAAAGACTAACAACAGCTAGACATAGGATCACCAATTTCACAACAATGTCCACAAAGACATTGAAGTTCTAGAGAATACTACAGTAACACTCTTGACAATGAAAACGGAATTCATATTTAGGGGTTCAGCTGAGGATAGTATAAACAAAGTATCAAACCATGTTTTAATAACATACTTAACTTAGGTATGTCCTTTAAATGTGTAGCATTTCTCATGCATCCTATTGAACTGTATCTTGAAGAGGGAATAGCATGATTTGTTGACGATGTTGCATCATTTTGATCAGTTCTGAGGAAATCGAGACAACCCACTTTGAATGAAAAAGTATGCACTTTGCACTGCAGTTCACATTGACATATCATTTGACTGAGTTGTGTTCTTGCTCTAACTTTTCTCATAATATTAACATACAGCAGAAAACACTTTCTACCCATATGTTCATAGTATGAGAAGGCTGACAAACAAGTGCTTAAGATAAACATTCTAGAGAAATTGGACATTGGCAAAGAGCTTAAAAATTAAACAAAGGAATTCATGGCATTGACAGGAGAAGGTGCCTCTGAGCTCTCGTTTCCCTCTGCCGGTTCTTTCTCTTTCTTACCACTGTATTGTCCAATAAAGGAGCCATCCTCGTTGAATTGGCCATTCACCCCCTCTCCATAGTCAACCAAGCTATCATCGCTGTCTTCTTTTTTCACAGTCCTGTCTGAAGGTGTTCGACTTCCTTTTTTCAAAGGCTTGTGGTCTTCTGCGTCACTGGAATAAAGAGGAAACACTGTTGTCATGACTGGCAGTCGGGTAACATCTTTTTCTTTAAAGATCACGCATGCAAATTATGGAAAAGCACTTGGAGTCCTGAGCTTCTGTAGCCAAATCTAATTGTCAGGCTGACTCCAGTGACTAGTATGGAGCTGGAATGAAGAGCGGTGCAGAAATGGTTGAATTATGAAGTCTTCAGTAGAATGGATGGCCTCCGATTGTGCATGTTAATTTCAATGAGAGAGGCTGACCCCTGATTTGAAAGCAATCCAGAAATAATCACAAGCATTAAAAAAGGAAGAATAGAGAAAAAAATGGAGACCACTATTTTGAATTCAAAGTGAGAAAAGAAACTTATAGGAGGTAGAGAAGTTATTAGTATGTTAAACTGCATAACATCACTGATTCCTTGGACATGAATGGAGCATGATTTTGATTAAATGTGTAACATGGATTTTTTTTTTTTCTGAGCCAGAAGGAGAAGCAAAATCCTGCATTTCGAATAATTTTGTTATTGGCCAGACTTGTAAACTTCAACCTTACCTTTCAAGAGACCTACAAATTCCATTAAAAGGATGCAGAAGAAACAAATGAAAATAGCCTAAGAAGAAAAGCAAAATCCTTATACTGATAGTATACAGTATTTTTTTCCTATAAAACTGTTAGTCATGGGTAAAAACTTATTAATTTGGAAACAGACACACTTTAACTTAAAAGCTCTCCATAATTTGTACTATGAATGGCATGCCAATATTCTAAAGAGCATGAGTGCTTCCAATACAAAAAATCAAAGACTTCCTGCACTCATCTTAACCCCCTCTCTTGTGCCACGTGTATCATCCAGCTTGTCTACATTGGATGGGAAGCTGAGGGACACACTTTAATAAAGCTTTATAGGACTCTATAGTAATTGTTATTTTTCTTATTTCTCTGTTGAACACCTAAGCACAATTTCTAGGAAGTAGAAGAGGTATTTAAGGATGTCCACCTAATTACATGACTGTTCACGTAACTAGGTATGCACATTGGCCTATTAGATATTAAGAAATATCTTAATAGGTAATATTTGGGCAAAAAAATAGTGGAAAAAAGGGCAATGACATAATCCAATATTTTGTTTTCTTTCAAAGAACTAAATGCAAGTCAAAATAGGAAACACACAATATTAGTAAAGAATAAAAAGTCTTAGTGTAACAAAGAGGTTGCTTAGCTGTAGTAGTTTATCTAGCAAATTTTAAGATGCACCAATATTCTGTCTTCTTTGTCAATAACTTCTGCTAGTGGTTTCATTTTTTTCTTCAATAATAGTATCTCAAGACTGGGAAGTAATGCTTGCCACATGACACTGGCTTTTGCTAATGAAAATTACCTATTTAACAACACACAAGTTCTTGTTGAAAATCTATATTATCACCACCACTGATAAACAACTGGGGTGCAGTCACGGAACCTTGAGCTGCCTGTCTTTGGGGGCATTTTGGAGGGCATAAAATTCAGCTTCTAATTTGTTATGAAAATAGCTTAGACTACATCTTTGGGATTTACTCATTAATCTGTAGGCTTTGCAGGAATCGTTTCTGTGAAATACTGAACATGACTTGATGAAAAAGTCAGTTCTGCTGAAAAGTTCAATAATGAGCAGAATTTCGTCACTTGGATTCCAACTATTAGCCTTATTCTGCTTTGTAGAACGAGCTTCCCAAGGATACTACAGGAAATTTTTGTCTATGACATATCCAGCCATCAATGCACTCACCCTTTCATCCAATAAATGTTTACTGAGCATCTAGGCACTGGGAATAAAGGAGCAAAGAAGACAGACTGAAACGCTGACCTCACAAAATTGACTTCTCTTAGGGTATAGTACAATTAACTATCAATATAACAAGAAAATTAGTGATGTTGGAAGGCAATTAGTACTATAGAAAATTAGTACTACAGAAAATATATTTGATTAGGATGTCCAGGGAAGGACTTCTTAAGAAGTAGCACTGGATAAAGCTTAAGAACTATGTTGGCCAGGTGGACAGCTGGAAGGAAAGCGATTCTGGCAAAAGTCACAAGACAGTGTAAGTGTCCTGAGGTAGGGGCGAGCTTGGCAACAGCAAGGAAATGTGGCTGGAACTGGAGGAGCAAGTGAGAAGCAGAGATTAATAGGAATGAGGAAGAGACTGGGCTATATCAGTGACCCATGGGACACTGAAGAGTCTCCCTGTAACACTGAGTAAGATGGGAAGCCACTGGAGAGTTTTCAATGGCTAAGTGACAAAATGTGATCTACATTTTGAAAGCATTACTCTGTTATCAAGTATTGAAAATATACCCCCTAGAGATTAGGCATTTGTAAACTACAGCTAATTTGGTACATGCCCATTTACTATGTATTAATCTATGGTTAATCTGTGCTACACAGAACAGCAGAGCTGCAACACAGACCACATGGCCTGCAAAGTCAAAAATATTTACTTGTAGGCACTCACTAAACATTGATAGGATGAATTCATGAAAAAGTAACAATAAAGAGATGGTGGGCATTTCAGAAATTTTTCAGAATTCTAACATTAAAAAATTTCATTCCTTCTTTAATTTTATGATGGCAGATAAAACATGAAAATATATTTTCCTGTATTTTATGTTTAGGATAAATTTTAAGGAGTTCAATGTGTTTTTTGAGTGGAACATGCTTTAGGCATGTGCCCTTATTAAATGCCTACTGAGTAAAATTCAGCAATAGCAAATAAATCTGATAATTATGTCTCATTGTCCTGTAGTCACTATCCTATCATGGTTTCATTGACATCCATGACCAAGAAACTCTTTCCAACCCACTCTCTAAAAGCCTGTCATTACTTATTTTGCTCACACATCAGTTCACATTTGTAAGAAGAATAAATCTGAAGTATGTAACAAAAGTGACACAGCTTGGCTTTGGTCAGGCTTTGTGAGTGTGGGTTAGCATTCTTGCAACATGATCACATTCACATGCGTGGCAAGATTCCTATGGCAAGAGTCTCCATTTATGCAGTAAGTTATGAGTTCAAGTACCATAGATACATGGTTTACGTGCTGTGTTCATTCTTGTTTCAGAAAGAATGGATCTAAAGAATAAGAAAATACTTACACAGTTGGTTGAATTGTTTCTCTGACTTTTCTATATGCTAGTAAGGATGCAGATCCTACTGTCTGTATAATTAAAGAAACAAACAAACAAAGCTGCAGGCTTCCACATGAGGATAACTGCTTAGGGGTGGGTATTGGAGTGAGTGCATGGGGTTATAGCATATGAAAAAAAAAATCAAATTTGGCCACAATTAAAGTTCCATCCCTCTTTGCACTATGAAATGTCCTGTGGCTCAGAGCCCACCATATAGAAACAGTTTCATCCTCAGACTGGAGAATAAGCAAATTGCACATGGAATAAATTCACATTTAGGCAATCATCCTAATTTTGTGTGTGTCAGTATGATCAGCATTAAATTTCAGTTTGGGAATGAAGGAGAATGAGAATTAGCAAGTGATAAAGAGCTCAAAACTTTCAGAAGGTGCAAAGCAGAGAAAGGACCCCGGTGATTTAGGGGGGAAAAGTGACACTAAAATGTATTACTACAAAAAAAAAACTTCTGTAATAAACAGTAGTTGGAACCGTTTTCATTAATTGTGCATCTAAGAAAATAAAGATCATCTGATTTCTTTAAACAGAAATGAAACCAAAAGGAAAAAATTCTGAGGTAGTGTCTGAAAATCACAGGACAAAGCCACTCTGTAACACAGGGTATTCAGGAATTTGGGGAAGTAGTTTTGCACGTGGTGTTGTCCTTATGAACTTTAAGATTCATTAAAAAAAATCACATGACTAAGTTGTGTTTCAAGTTGGAGACACCCATCAGAACTTTATTTCCTTTGGCCCCTCTGCCATCAATGTCATTATATGTGTCATCAGAGTTTTTGTCTTCACTCCAATTGGGTTTGTATTCAATAGGCCCAAATAAAAAGTCTTTTCATCTTGAGAAATCATGGCAAAAGTTAAAAACAGTCATTTGAAAACGCTTCATGAACATAGCACACATGAATTCACACCAAGACAAAGGAAGATGATCAAACAAATGTAAATTAAATAGTGATTATGAGGCCAATAATCTAAATACTTGCTATGTACTGCTCTAGAGACAAAATCATATTCAAAGTAGTTGGTATATAGCTCACAGTACAGAAATCATAGAACCAGCAAAGAAAGCTTTGACGACCTTCTAATACTTGAACAACTATTTCCCTTTATAGATGAAAAACAAAAAAAAAACGAGACCTTGTCAAACTGAGTACCATATAAAGGAATCACAGGTGATGGTTGAGTTGACAGTAAAATTAACAGTCTCTTGGTTCCAAGCTGGTTCACAAAACTCAACCTCAATTTTAATCAAGTCATAATACTGTAGTTTGCATCGTTACTCCAGGAAAATCACATTTTTTTTTCAGGTCATGGCTTTACATCACCATCATAGCAAATGATATTTGAGATCCATGAAGTGAGCAGTACATTGCCATATTCATTTAAGCATGATAATGGAAAACAGGAATCCATCACCATGTGGAAAATATATGAAGTGCTTATGGTTTATTTTCAACTCATGCAAATATATAATAAGTTTTCCAGGCTATATTAAAGATGTCGCTTCTTAACAACCAACAAAGGAGCAGTGTGGATATCCTATACAGAATTATAACCATGAGAATTCTAAAAACAAGCTATTTTAGTGATTACCTGCTCACCTGCTTACAGGATAAATGTGTAGAAGAGTGAGTTAAATCAGTGAAGACACAGCTTTTAAGTGTAAGACGCAGCTCCCCTGGACTATGAGAATTTGTAGGCTGCTCTCATATGCTATAAAAACCTTGGGTGTAGAGGGTAGAGGTACTGCAGGAGGTTTTCCTATGCTTTCAGCCTCAGAGCCAACATCTAACATCAAGATAAGCCTCACTACACATTTTTCCATACCCCGAGATACAGAATTTCTGGGAAATTAAAGAAACTGTAGTTGTGTCCGTTGAAGAGAAGATCAGAATGTGGATGCTCTTCAAGGCAAAACCCTCGTGTCTACACGGAAACCTGCACAAAACCCATTCTGTTGGAAATATATGGCTTTTCTCAATCAGCTCTATATTTCTCACTGTTGGCATTATTTTACCCTCATGACACTGACACGGAAGTACCAAAAATGAGCTCCAGAAATGGGGCATTCTTAACACAAATAACTTAGATACAAATGTCACCTGGAAACTACAATAGTGAAATGTTTTATTTCACCCAAAAGTCTTTTTCTTCTAGGGGGGGAAAAAGCAAGCCTCAATTTGAGCTCAGTGCAAAGATTTATAGAAATACCCTTTTGGGACACCAGAGTGATGATCTTTTAGAATACTTAAATAAATATTTTGTTACTGTTTTTAATCATGTCTAGAATAAAAACTTCTTTCTTTCTGAAAAGACCTATAGTGCCTAGGCAAGAATATTTCTTGTTTAAAGAGATGTTTAAAAAATCAGCAAATAGGTTTTATTAATATTTCTTCTTAATGATTAAGTCAAGAATGTATCTTCAAAGTTCTGTGAGTTAACACATGGACCAAATGGCTGTGATACTGCTTAATAATTAACTGCTTATAAAATGAGATACTCATCTTTCGATGAACAACAGAGGTATAAGTATTGCTTAAGTAGAGCTTCGTATCTGAAATTAAAGAGTTTTGTTTACAATGGTTTTATAAAAGCACATTTCTTTACAATGCAGATCCTGTAGGAAGTAGGGTCTTTCATATTCTAATTCTCCCTATAACTTGCTGGCTTTGCTAGATAGACCAACACAACATGGGCCTCTGGAACATACTCTGTCTCCAAACCTACTCTGCCTCCAAACCTATCACTAAAATGGAAATTTATATTTTAATAAAAAATGAGAATGCTTTAATCTTGAGGAACATGTAAACATTTAGGCATGGAAGTATTTCTAAACTGAGGCCATGTGAAGAGCCAGGGAGAGCACGTTGCTGGTTGAATCCTGCCTTGGGAGAGTGTTTGCAGAGGGGCAGGGCCAAGAAGACAAAGAGCAACAAGAAGCAGAGGCCCACCTGTATTCTCCAAAAGTTCCATCGTCTTCCTTCATCGGCTGAATTTCAGGATCTGCATGAGCATCTTCTTTTTCTTTAACTGAAAATTTAGAAATAGCATCTTTATCCATTGAACTTGTACTTCCTTATCAAAGTTACACAGCAGAGGAAAATAATTCTCTCCACAAATAGATGTTATACAACCATATAAACAGAAATATTATGTAGTTGTGCATGTAATTGATACGTTTGTCATTGCTGTGGGAACCTAATAAAATGAACATTTGTTAACACATAAGGTGACTTTAGTAAGTTTCCAAGATTTTTTCCCCCAGTTCACCCATCTGTTTATTATCTATATTTATGGTAACACATTGTTTTTGTAAATTTTTTTTTTCTTATAACCAGAAGGTAAATGGTCATGTAAAGAAAATATAAATTTGATCTGGGGTTGTGGTTCAGCAGTAGAGCGCTCGCCTAGCATATGTGAGGCCCTGGGTTCCATCCTCAGCACCACATAAAATAAATAAGTAAAATAAAGGTATTGTGTCCAAGTATAATTAAAAAGTAAATATTTTAAAAAATATATAAATTTGATGGACCTACTAAATTGAGTGAACTATCAGCCTAATAGGGAAAGCAATGTCACATATCACATCAAAACTGGGTCCATGCATTACTTCCTTTGGAAAGCTTCACACACTGATCCTCCACCCCACCACTTGGTTTTTAGGTGCTGCTTCAGTATTGGGAACTTTTGTGGAGCCTAAGAGAGTAAACTTACATTATCAGAGAACAGACTGATTTGCTCTTCCAAATGCCCTATGCCTTTGACAGTAGTTAGGATGTCATTTTATAAAAAGGGATTAAAAAAAATTGAACAGAAAAATCCAAATTTCTGGATCTAGGGAAATATACTATTGCAATCTACACAATTCTTTTTACTTTAATAAATAATTATAAAGTAATTTCAGTATTTTTTTTTCTTACCTGGGTATTTACCACCCTTGTTTCTTCTGATGAAGCAAACAATCAGCAAAATTAAGATAAGGAGCGCAACAGCACACATTAGACCTATGAACCAGCCCTGAGTCGCGATATCCACCTGCCGGCTTGCCATTGCTGGAAAACAAATCAATGGTATTGGTTGAAATCGGGTAAGGGATAGAGAACTGTGGTGGCTTCTTGTAATAAAAAAAAGCCACCTTAATATACAAGCTTTTATACATTTCCCATGTGGTCCCAAATTGGAACCTGTCAGTTATTGATCAGGAATTATATAATTATCTAACTTTGTAAAATCTTCACCATTTAAATAATTTAAGAAATATGAATGCTAATAACATTAAATAGTATCAAACCCTGCTAAACACTGTGTTCACAGTTATGTAAACTATATATTCTCATAGAAACATATTCCCAAGCTAATTAAAAATGTATTGTTTATAGGATAAATTATATTGATACAATGAAAGGAATATAAAATTGAACTTTAAACAGAACAGAATGTATACATCTAGTGGAGTATTTTTCCTTCAAAGGAAACCACTTTTGGAACCTAAAGTGCCATTGCAATGTTACTGCTGTTTTTCAGAGCTTTGGCAATCTGTCTAAAAAGAAGATGATTCACGTGAGAAGCCTGCCACAACCATATTTTATATAACACCTCAATTCCAAATGGAAATTTCTATAATATTGAATCTACTCAGATGATCAATATTTGTTATTTCTTAGTGTCTATCAAAAAGACTTTAAAATATATTTTGATCAGAGGAGTTACTGGAATAAATGACCAGTTTGAAGAGAAAATACTCATTCACATGTATATGTTTTCTTTACCTCTTCATCTATTCTGTTTGAGTAAATAAATGTGAGGCCCCTTATTCAACCAGTCATTTCTTAACACAACTTCTAAGAAAACCACAGGAAAATGACCACTTCTGGTGCTATTCAAAAGTGTTAATTATATGGGACCAAGTGCAGCATCAATGGCTATTCAGACACACCTATGCGGATTTGTTTAAATAAATTTTCATGAATCCTTTGTTAAAGGTCTTAATTTTTTCTCATTTGACCATAAATAAGCAAGGTAAAACATTTTCTTCTTTGACTTCATAAACGTGCCTATATTTCACTTTGATTGATTTTCTTCTGTCAACATTTCTTGTAGTTGGGTTAGATGTGTATGATCTCTGGAGAAATAAGCACGGCTACATGTATCCCGGGTTCTTCTATGTGTTGAAAAGAAAGCATCTCATTGCCCCCTTTTCTCCATAGAAAGTAAGGGAGAAAATAATATGATAAAAATCAAGTGTTAAGAGTAATGTAAAAAATGTCTGAAAATATGTTCAAGAAATAAAATGAGCAGTGGAAACATGGTATCTGGAATAAAATCAAAGGCCAATGGCTTTCCGTGCCTCATTAGTTAGGGGGTTTTGAACCGTACCATAAGCAAACAAAATTGAAGAGTGAGTATGGGCAGTTTCCCTCTCCAACACACATCCCTGAGTCATGATGGTGAGGATGAAGATAATGGTAATAATAATGACAGCTAACACTTTTGTAGGCTTACCATATGCTAGGCACTGTGCTGAGGACATAACCCCATTTAATCTCTACAACAATCCTTTGAGGTAAGCATTAGGAATAAACCATGCCCAAAGAGGTAAAGAGCTTGCCCAAGAGCTGGAGATGGACACATGTTTGTCTGGCTCTGGTGAGATGCTACTAGCTAGTACACTAGCAGCTGCTACAATGCATTCCTAAGCACAGTCTAGACATCAAATCTACAAATATCTGAACACAGAATAAAATACTGGGATAGGTAAAAAATGTTTGAAAAGTTTATCATTACATTCTCTTTGCAATATAGTTCTGTAAATTTGCCAAAGGTCTTTGTGTGCTTCTTATTCTAAACTGAATCCAAAACCAAGAAGCACAGTCTCTTGAGCATTTGACTTAAGTTAGGAATCTGGTTCTAGTATGCTTAATGATTTATTGCCTTGTCCTAAACAATTTTAACATTGACCTTTTCATCTATTTACATGCAATTGATAATGAAAAAAGCAACAAAATATTCAAATACTAGCACAGAATCTGTCTTACAAAGATGGTGACTGTTAAAAAATGGAATGTCAGGCTAGAAGCTTGCTACTATACAACTGTGCAAAAACTGGATGTGTTTTCTTGACAATTGGAAAACAAACATCCACACTGATTCTGAATTTTTGCCTCTCTTTTAAAAAAAGTATTAAATATATCCCTATCTCATTATTTAAGATTAATCAGGCACAATAAGCTAACAGGTACATGTATACACACACACACACACACACACACAGAGTGCACCAGAAGTTGACACAAAACAGATATTCTGAAAGTAGAAATAACTTCTATTGACTTCCCATCTGAACCTGGGATATGAAGCCCAGGATGACAGGATGAGGCTCCCAACCTCCTTAGGATACTCCAAATCATCTTATCTGTAACATACAAACTCAGGCCATAACCAAGATTGTGCAGATCATAAACACACACACACACACACACACACACACACGTATGAACAGACATATAAATGAAGCCTATGGGTCTTTTCCTTCTAGAATATGAGTTTCAATGAGTGGGAATGGGGTGCAGACTAAAAGAGGGTTTTCACATTTTCCAAAGTTTTTACAATAAAATTATATACAGGTATTACTGAGTAATCCATAAAGTGACAAAGTTACACATATAAAGACTATTCAAATATAAGGGCTGGGGATGTAGCTCAGTGCAAAAGTGAACCTGGGTCAAATCCTAAGTATCAAAGAAATAAATAATAAAAATAAAATGAGGTAGAGGAACGGAATTGTTGTTGTTGTTGTTGCCTAGAAGTTAATTCTAACAACTGTCCTCCCCTCTCAGACTGAAGAGCTGTGGATAATCTGTGCATGGTGGTAGGAGGTCTCTGAGGAAGGTGCCCCTGAGTACTAATAGTCACCAAATAAGCTCAGAAGACAGAGAGTGACAGAAATGGCACTTTGTTCTACATTACTGAGAAAGAATCCACTATGTTTAAAAATGTTCTGTTCATTTTACAATAGAGATTTTTATAAACAGAAAGGGAAAAAAATAATCTTGACAAAAGGTTGGAGGCAGCTGACAAAAAAGCTGTTAGGCACAGTGAGAATAAATTTTAGTCTTAGAAATGTCAGAGAAGGGACTTTAACTGAGGGACAGAGGTGAGAAGGGGAGGAGAAGTGGGTGGTGTTAATGAGCGGTCACACCCGATCACACAGGTGGGATGGTGTTAATGAAACATCCTGCCAGTAACAAAGGAGAGAATCGCAGCCTCAGGTGCTGCCTATAGTCTTGTTTGATTCTTTTTTTTTTTTTTTAATGCCTTAAAAATCCAGACTGTTGCCAGACATGGTGGCCTATGCCTGTAATCACCTTGAGAAACTGAAGCAGGAGGATCATGAGTTCAAAGCCAGCCTCAGCATCTTAGCGGGGCCCTAAGTAAGTCAGTTAGCCCCTGTCTCTAAATAAAATACAAAAAGTGGCTGCGGATGTGGCTCAGTGGTTAAGTGTCCCTGGGTTCATTCCTCAGCTTATGCAAAAAATCCAACACACACAAAAAATCTGTAAAAGGCAGAGATGGTGTCACGTTAAGAGGATGTATGAAACAACTAACTGAATCTAGGTTCCCACAAATTAGCAAAACTCATAGAAGGAAGCAGTTCATGAATGCAGAAAATTTTAAAAAAAGCAAAAAAAAGTCAAAAGGTATGTTTTTACACCAAGGTATGATTTCACCATTGCCTCTTGCATGGGCAGGGAAGGAGCAAGAGCAGGAGAAGACAAGGACTGGTGTCAACCTGCAGGGCTAAGGAGGAAGCACCAAAAACTGGGAGGAGAGGTAGAGGCATTCCAGAAGCAGACAGTGTTTGCTCCTAGGAGTAACAGGTGTGTGCGGTGGGTGGTACTGGTGAAGGAAACTGACCAAATTATATTGGTTTATTGTGTGCATGTTTGAATCTATAACAGCAAATCCCACCATTATAATCACCAATAGTTCATTTATTTATTTTTTTTTAAGAAGGAGTAACAGGTTAACTAAGGTCACTAGAGATTTCCATACTCATTCTATTTAACAGTTACATCTAGATGGAAAAAGTTACGGTAACTGGCTGTGGCCTTGTCCTGTCTCTCATCACTGGCATGAAAGAATGGCCCATCTGTCACAATCACTCATCTTGAGCTTCCTGGCAATTGCCACTGGGTTTTGTTTTGTTTTGGTTTTGTCTTATAAAAGAACAGAAAATGCTACAACTTCATTTTGAGGGTGAATCTAACTCATCTGCAAGTCAAGAACACACGAAGCCTTTAGGTCCAGAACAGCAGAACAGGTACAACAAGGGCTGACTGAAGCCGTCATTTGGGACGACCCATTTCCTTGGATTATAGCCTTTGACCGTGTGTGGGGTCTGGTGAGGGCCTCTCCTCTGATGCTGAAAGGACAGGCTTCTAATCTGGCTCTACCATGTTCCACCTATTGGTCCGGGCAGGTTCTCCGCCTCTAAGTACTGACATGAGGCGTAAGTGGACAATAATAGTGCCCACCTCACAGGATTGCTGAAAGGATTGAAGGAAAAACCACTTGCCTGGTATAGAATAGGACCGACTAAATGCTGGGACTACTATTCCCATTCTAGCTGTATATCTAGACTGGAGCTGCCAAAATTTTCAAATTAAAATTTATTATTAATAATAATAAACAAACACCTTGTAAAATGAACTATGATTGGTTAGCTATGCCCTATTAAGTTTAATATAGGGGTTCTCTGGAACTATGTATATAAATGGATATGAAGATACAAGGAGTAGAATAATAGGGAAAAAATTTAACATTTATTCTAGCATATGGATGTTTTTAAAATACCACTTGATAAGTTTTTGAATATTATCCTTTGGTTTTTTAATTTTGTAACAAATATGGTTATATATTTCTTAAATCACAAGAAATAATTTTAAAAATCATCATGCTTTGTTAATTAAGTACACAACAAAAAAAATCCATTTTGTTTATGGGTTCTGCAAGGATATGCAATATTTCCTCAAGAATGCGTGAAGTGACTGAA